TTTATATTAAATTAAAATCCGTTCCCTAGTTATTAGTTTGTACAAAAATAAAAATATTATAATTTCTAAATTTAATAACATGTGTAAAGTTTACTTTTATTTTTTTAGATTATTAAAACTATCAATTGTAATAGTACAGTTGTGATAACTGGTGCTACTGGATGTGGGAAAAGTACACAAGTTCCTCAGTATATTTTAGATGACTGTATGAGTAAAAAGAAATATTGTAATATTATTGTTACTCAACCTAGACGTATAGCTGCAATTTCAGTATCTAAACAAGTAAACAATGAACGTGGTTGGAAAGATGGGCTTTTAGTTGGTTATCAAGTTGGACGTAAAAAAGATTTTGATCCTCATACAACAAAAATTTTATATTGCACTACAGGAATTTTGTTACTTAGAATTATTAAAGCAAAAAGCCTTAGTGAATTTACTCACATTATCTTAGATGAAGTTCATGAAAGAACACTTGAAATGGATTTTTTATTATTAATTATTAAGAAGTTACAAAAGAAAAACTCTCAGTCAACTCGTGTAAGTGATTTTAAATTATTTTTCATACAAGTGTCTTCCAATTAAAGTTCATTTATTTAATTTAATGATGTTTATGCCATCCATATGATATATTATTGTGAAACACTTAGAGTTAATACAAATATTCTATTGTTTATTTTATCATTGATTCATTCCAATAATTATTTAGGTAATACTAATGTCTGCCACAGCAGATGCTTTAAAATTACAAGATTATTTTGGTGATTACTATGGACATCCTTATAATAGACATGAAACAGCACCATTAGTTAAGGTTGAAAAGCCATCCAACTACAAAATTCTTATACACTATTTGGATGATTTATATGGATTGATACCTGCTGTAAGTATATATATATATATATATATGTATACAGTATACAAGAATACTTATTACCAAGAAAGCAAATGATTATAAAAATGATCTAGTTTCCATGTCCAACATAAAGTTAACATTTTGATATTTATTTTAAGTACGGGGATTCTGCAATAGTAATAAAATCTTTACTTTTTTATAATCAAATGCTAAATGTAAGTAAACCGTATCTATAAGCAGCAAATATAAAAATGAAAATTAATCATTTAAATGTTACTATATCAACAGCCAACTTTTCCTCTAGACCAATCAATCACTGAACCAAAATAGCAATCTTTTTACCAAAGTCTTGGTAGTTTTTTTATAATAAGAGATGATTTTAATACTTAACATTGTATATGTATTAAAATATATAATACCCCCAATGGGGTAGGTCTTTTATTTCCCATTACAAACCAACTTATTGGCCTCCACTTAAAAACAGATATCTCTCAATATTTATCTAACCTAACCTAACCTAACCTCTGGCTTACCTCTTCTAGGTATGTTGTTTGTGCATATAGTACTCAAACGAATCGAGTGTCCTTTCTTGACCACTATTTCTATTGACCAACACGGATTCTTCCCAGGGCGCTTGACAGCGACCARTCTTATTGACTTTGTCTYTTACCTTCATTTGGTTTTTGATTTGGTTTAATCAGGTTGATGTGATATATATATATACAGGGTGATTCTTTTATCAAACAACACTCATTATTTAAAAAAGTATTGACTTTTT